CTAGCTGGGCGAAACCTCCACTTTGTCGATGGCGAGCAGGCCGAGAATGACCAGGCTGACATCCGTGCTCGTGTACACGACCGCTTCGTACTTGTCCCCGATGCTGCCGGGGCTCACTCTGGCAAGCGTTTGGCCCGTGGCGGAGCGCACCTGCAGCTCATGCCTCGAGAAGTGGCCGCTGAAGACCATCAGCGCATCCGTCCCGCGCGCCATGGTGTAGGTGGAGGGGTCCGTCTTCTTCATGGTCGCATACTTGGCCCCGGAGGCCTTTTCGGAGCCTCCCAAGCGGGGTCCGAGCAGATGGGGTCGAGGAATCGCGCCGCATCGCCGATGTATCGCCCGTGCATGCTCCGACGTCGTGATTTTTCATGACGTCGACCCCCAGAGGTCTGGACCCCTTCCCCGGGACCGGCTTTTCGTCCCGAGTCGTTTTTTGATACTTCCAAGGCCCGGTGAGGGCCCCCGGAGGCCGAAAAGAGTGCAAAACCTCCGCCGTCGTGACCTTAACACAACGCCAGGGGGCCTGGGTGATACCCTGAGATCCGACGTTGCAGAACAGCCGCGCAACCTCGCAAGACATCGCCACCGCAGGCCCCGGACCCCACCTCCTGCCCCAATACATATTTCTTCGGGGAGCCGCCGGGTTGGACTCGGGGCGCTCGGGTACGGGGGACTCGGGTTGGCCCGACGGGGGACGGGGGACTCGGGTTGGCCCGACGGGGCCATCATGAAAATGACGCGACCCAGTTCGAAGTTTGACGCGGGCTCCCGCTGCAGGCATCCCGCGAAACCTGGACCGCCCAAACCCAGGACGCGCTCGTCCAAACGCGCCGGCAAACCCGGGTTCGTGCGTGCTCGAGTCTAACGTTTCCCAAATTATTTCGAGCCACCCGCCGCGCCTCGAACCAGCCCACCCGCAATAAGGCACGCCCCAGCCCCGCTCCCCTCCCCCTCCTCCTCCTCCTCCTCCTCCTCCTCCTCCTCCTCCTCCTCCTCCTCCTTCTCCCCCTCCTGCGAGGGCACGAGGGCCCCGAAGCGGGGCGACCACGCCCCCAAGGCGAAGCAGCCGCAGACAAACCGCTGGGCTCCGAGGCCATACGCCCGGCCACGGGCTCCGGTGGCGGGCGAGGGGGCGAGAAGCCCTGGGACCCCCCCTCCTCCTGCTCCTCCTGCTCCTCCTGCTCCCTCCTGCCCCTCCTGCTCTCACCCTCTGTCCTCGTCCTCCTCCTCCCTCCGTCCTCCTCCTCCTCCCTTCCTCTCTCCTCCTCCTCCTCCTCCCTCCTCCCCTCCTCCTCCCTCCTCCCTCCTCCCTCCTCCTCCTCCCCTCCTCCCTCCTCCCTCCTCTCCTCCCTCCCCCTTCCTCCTCCTCCCTCCTCCCTCCTCCTCCTCCCTCCTCCTCACTGCTCCCTCCCTCCTCCCTCCTCTCTCCTCCTCCTCCTCCTCCTCTCTCCTCCTCCTCCTCCTCCTCCATCTCCTCCTCCACCTCCTCCTCCTCCTCCTCCTCCTCCTCCTCCTCCTCCTCCTTTTCCTCCTCCTCCTCCTCCTCCTCCTCCTCCTCCTCCTCCTCCTCCCGATGGTAGGTGGTGCTGAAAAGTCGGCCCACCAGAAGCCTCAGAGGGTGCTTCTCGGGAGGCCCGAGGGCCTCTGATAGAGAAGCCCCCGCCGCGCTCTCCGAGAAGGCCGGGCCCCCACCCCTCTGAGACTCCCAGAGGGCTGGGGGGGGCTTCTCAGAAGCCCTCGCGCCTTCAGATTGCTTTGCTGCGCCCTCGGGGGAGAGAGACGAGCAGGAATGCGTCCAAGTCGCCCCAGCGCAAACGCTGGATGAGAAGGAGGGATGGGGAGGGGCTGACAACCAACCACTATCGCGGTGGCTTGCACTCCCTCATCCTCTTGATACGGTGCTTCTGCGGCCCAGGAACCTCCTCGGAAGGCTGGGGGACTTCCGAGCCCGCCGAGAGGGCCCGTCCCTGCCCCCTCGCTCGCCGCCGACGGTTGGGAGGCCCTGGGCCCTTGCGATCTCCATCTCGGGCTGGCGCTTCCCCTGGCTGGCCCACACGTCGTCCGTGGACAGGAAGGTGAACTCCTGCGCGGCGCCGAGCATCTCAAGGTGGATGCCCGCTCCCGAGGTGTCCGCCGAGTCGCCCTCCGCCACGTGGGCCTTTGAAGGGGCCCAGGGACGCATAAATAAAGAGATACAAATCCCCCTCCTTTCCTCATTCTCTCCATCCTCCTTGTCATCCTCCTTCTCCGCGTCCTCCTCCTCCTGCTCCTCCTCCTCCTGACCCTTCAACTCCTCTTCCTTCTCTGGTTCCTCGTCGTCGTCGTCGTCCTCCTCCTCCTGCTCCTCCTCCTCACCCTCCTCCTTGCCGTCCTTTCCAGGGTCGGCGGAACCGGCCGTAAGGACTTTGCAATCTATAAACACAAATCCCTGGATCCCCAATAGTTCTACATATGATCTGGAAATCCGTCCTCCCCTCCACTTCCCATAGATGCCACATTTCCGTGGAATCGACGAGTCTTTGTGTCTGTGTGTTTTCCCATCCTGAGCCTTGTAGAGCGCCGTTCCGCCCGGCATCGCTAGCCTCGGGGGGAACCAAAAGATAGGGCGATCAAGCTATGAACAAAAGCAGGCCGAAGGCTGCGGCAGCCCATGGGCATGCGCACAATGCGTCGGCAATGATACCGTATTTCACGGCATCCACCCTGCAAGCTGCATGCATATCTCCGTGGCGATGCAGGGGTGATAAGTGGACGCACGAAGGGAATGAGGGAGGGACGCGCGACGAGCGAGGACGGGAGGCGAGGCCAAGAGGGGAAGAGAAAAGGGGCCCCGAAACAACAAGCTGGGCAAGGACGATTGAAACAATCAATTGCTTCTCGGCCGGGTCGCTTGCTACGGCCTGGCGGCATCGATGACGAGCCGGAAATACATGGCTGAATTCGGAAACCGAGGCCAACTTGTTATTTCCGTCAACTTCCGCCGCCCTTCCGCCGGCTTCCGCCAACGGAGGCGGCCTCGTTTTACTTCAGCCGCCTTCCGCAGCACTTCCGCCACCCCCCACCGAGGAAGAGATAGCAACTCCGTCGATCCTCGAAGACAAGGCCCTTTCTGGAACGCCTCACATGTTTTTTAAGTGGCCACTTCTTCGTTTAATCACTCACTTCCCAATGGGGCGCCACAGCACCCCCCAGGCATCTGGCATTCCGTACTCATTGATTGCCGTCGCTCGGACCTCAATTCCCCGTGGATGTTTCGGTCTCGTGCGTGTTTGTGTTGCTTGATTACCCTGGATGCTCCTCAATGGTCCTCGCCGAGGGCAAAATGCACACGTCGAGCGATGCCAAGATTCGGTTGCATTGCCGATGCCCGATGCCGCTACCCCTGGTCATCTCCCAGGGTACGCCGGTGTGCTCTGATCAGAATTTTGAGGCGAATCCAGCAGTGGCGTCGAGGGCCTCCCAGGAAGCCCCCCAGAACATGCGAAAATGAGGGAGCGTAGCGGCATCGGCATACCTTTTCCTCCCCTGATCGCCTGTTTATGCTCACCGTCAGGTTCTGCCTCCTGTGGCACACGAGCCTCGGGATGTAGAGCGCGCACTGGAACCTTGACGTCCGCCGATGTGATGTTTCAATCCGCAGCCCCAGGGGTTCCGACCGCTTCCCCAGGCAAGTCAAGCCCACCGCCCTGGATCTGTGCGTGGCGGCCCCGGGGCCCGACGTAGCAGCCACCGAGGACCGAAGCCGAAGAAAGCCCTCGGGTCGAAACGATCACATCGTCGGAGGGATGAGGGGCAGCGATGGGTGGGGACCAGCTCAGGTTTGGACGCCCGAAATGGGTACCGAAAGAATGGGTACCATGCCCAACAACTAATGTTGTCCCAAACCAACAGCAGCCGCTGTTTGGCAGGCGGCCTTCTGTCTCGAATGGACACAGGCCGCGGCGGCGCGGACAGCAAACCCCGTTCAAAATGAACAAGATCCGCTGTCGGGCATTGTACCCATTCTTTCAGTACCCATTTCGTGCGTGCAGAGGGAAGCATCGAGCTGGAACTGGTCATGCGTCGCCGATAGATCGGCGACGGGCCCCCGAGAACGCCTCCGTGCGCTCCCGGGTGGGGCGGGGCCCTCATCGGCGATCCATGGGCCCTCGGGGGTCGAGGCATCCTCCTCCTCCTCCTCCTCCTCCTCCTCCTCCCTCCTCCTCCTCCTCCTTCTCCTCCTCCCCCTCCTCCTGGGACGTCGTCCTGGGGGGAAATCTCGGAAATCTCCTCCCCCTCCTCCTCCTCGTCCTCCTCCTCGTCCTTCTCCTCCTCCTCCTCTTCCTCCTCCTCCTCCTACTCGCTCCTCCTCCTCCTCCTCCTCGTCCCTCTCCTCCCTCCTCCTCCTCCTCCTCCTCCTCCTCCTCCTCCTCCTCCTCCTCCCCCTCCTCCTCCCCCTCCTCCTCCTCGTCCTTCTCCTCCTCCTCCTCCTCCTCCTCCTCCTCCTCGTCCTCCTCCTCCTCCTCCTCCTCCTCCAGGAGTGACCCTAATTAGGCCAGAGTGACCTTTGGTGCGCGAAGTCTGGGGGGCCGCCAGGGGGCCAAATCCAAGGGCGCAAGCCGCTGTTGTGGCCGTGTACTCGTCAAATTTTGGCGATTGGGGGCCTCATTGGAACCGCACCAAAGGTTCGGCGGCGAGCGAGGGGGGGAACGGAGAACGAGAAAGCCTTCCCAAAAGGCAGAGGGGCTTCTCAACCCCCATTGCGCCTTCTGACAGGTTTTCGGTTCCTTCGGGAAAGGCTTAAGAAACTTCTCAGAAGGCCGGGGGACTTCCGTGCCTTCTGAGAAGGCCCGCTCCTTCTCACTTCCCCCCAGGCGCGCCGCTGAAAGGTCACTCCGTAGCCGAATCCAGACCCCAGACGTCATGATTTGTTCGTGACGTCGACCCCCGAGGTCTGGACACATTTCCCCGAGACCGTTTTTTCATCCCGAGTTGCTTTTTGACGTTCCCGAGGCAACCTCCCGTCGTGATTGAAGGCGCCTGTTTTGTAAGACTCGGGCGAGTTTACTTGCATGGACGGAAGGGAGGGGCCTGAACCTGAAGCAAGCCGCAAACGACCTGCACGTGCGGAAATCACGCAAGTCGAATGGCCCCTGCACGCTAGTATTCATTGGAGGGGCCAGGGGGGGGGGACGGGCGAGCGCCATGTAAATGAACTTGCCTGAATTAGCAGAAGAAACAACTCCACGAACATACACTTTTGGCGCTCCGCGCGGATTCTTGGATCTGCGCGGGGCCACCTCCATGGCGCGCGGATCGCGCCAGGGGCGGCGCCGGATGCTCCGCCAGGGGGGGCCCAGGCGCCGATCCGAGAAATCCGCGCGGAGCGCCAAAAGTTGATGTGCATGCATTTCTTTGTGAATCAACAAGAAAACAAGCTCAGACGTGACCCTCAGAAGTCTGGACCCCTTCCCGGGGACCGGTTTTTCATCCTTGGATTGTTCTTGTCAAACCTGCCGAGGCCCAGGAAAGGCCCCCAGAGGCCAAAATCAACGAGAAACCTCCCGTCGTGTTTCCTTCACAACGCGAGGTGGTCTCGGAAAACAGGGTCACTATGTCATGACTCGAGGGGGTCTGGGAATCTGGGCGCCCGTTCCTGGGCGGCCCCCTCGAAGCCGAGAGCCGAGCCGCGGGTGGTCGCCCCTTCCTTGCGCCCCCCTTGGCGCCTCCTCCTCCTCCTCCTCCTCCTCCTCCTCCTCCTCCTCCTCCTCCTCCTCATACTCCATCCTCCATCCTCCATCCTCAATCCTCCAACCTCCATCCTCCATCCTCCATCCTCCATCCTCCAACCTCCTCCTCCTCCTCCTCCTCCTCCTCCTCCTCCTCCTCCTCCTCCTCCTCCTCCTCCTCCTCCTCCTCCTCCTCCTCCTCCCCCTCCCCCTCCCCCTCCTCGAGGGGGTCTGGGCAGCTGGGAGCCTACAGCTCTCGGGCAGCGCCGGCGGGGGCGCAGCGTCGGCGGCGCCGTCCGCGGCCGCGGAGAGCAGGCCGCTGCTCCCCGGGCTGGCGGGCGAGCCCGGGCGCGACAGCTTCTTGGCCCGGGGCGCGAGGTCGGGCAGCCTCGGGCCGAAGAGGGCGTGGGAGGAAGGGGGTTCCCCGTCGCTCGGACGTCCATCCCCTGTGCTTTTTGTTTCGGTTTCGTGCGCGGCTTTTTCGCAGGGTGATCCAGGATGCTCCTCCATCATCCCCGCCGAGGAAAAGTGCACACGTCCGAGCGATACCAAGGGGGAGGATGGGCCCAGAGATCCAGCGTGTGGACAAGCACATCCAGAGGGAGGTTGTTTGCCCGTGTCGGCCTCCAAAGCGGGCGGGGAGGAAGGGAGAGGAAGGGCCCAGAGATCCACCGTGTGGACAAGCAAGTCAAGACAGAGGGCCGAGGAGGGCGTGGGAGGAAGGGGGAGGAAGGGCCCAGAGTTCGGTCGGCATGTCCTCCTACAAGCGGATTTGGTTGAAAGCTGATGGATGATCGAGGAAAGCCTGAACATGCCAAGCAGTTGGTCGAAACATCATCCCCCGACTATGTTGTCAACTAGTTTGGGATATTCCTCCTGTTGAGGGACGCGCCCGACTTAAACCAAGAGATCCAACGTGTGGACAAACCAATCAAGACGGAGGTTTTTCGCCAATGGCGGCCTCCCTAAGAGGCCATCGCCCGGCCCCGGGGCCGTCCACAAAACGACTACTATAGGATGGCAAAACCGGCCCTGGGCGCGACGGCTTCTTGCCCCGGGGCGCGAGGTCGGGCAGCCTCGGACCGAAGATGGCGTGGGAGGAGGGGGAGGCAGGAGACCGAGACCTCCTCGCGGGAGGTTTGTCGCTGTTGTCGGCCTCCCGGGGCCCTTCTCGGGCCTCGGGGCCGTGGAAGAACGACTCGGGGCGAAGAACCAGTCCCCGACGGGGGGTCCAGGCTCCTGGAGGTCACGTCGGGACAATTCATGACGTCGGGGATCTGTGGCATGGGAGAGGAACGAGAGGAGGGGGCTCGAACCCAGAGGTCCAACGCTCCAGAAAAATGGGGGCGGGCGGTCTTTTGGCCGTTGTCGGCCTCCAGGGGCCCTCGCCGGCCCTATAAAAGGAAACGAGCTCTATACACCGACGCTTTTTTCGACCCTGCGCTGAAATTGGCACAGGAACGCGGATCCTGGTGTATACGGGATCCTGGTGTATACAATTTTCGTTGCTTCCCTTGGAAAACGGGGAAGAAGTGTACACCACACCACCCCGACGTCGCCCCCGACCCTCAAGAAAGTCCTGGGAGTGAAACCAAGCCCGCCACTGGTAATGTACATGTGCCAGTTTCCGACTATAGGGAAGTAAAACAGGGCTAGGATCGGGATAAATCGCTCCAGAGCGTTCCGGAGCGCTTTCAGAGCGTTCCGGAACGCTCTGGAGCGGCCGCGGCGCCCAATACATCCTCCAAACCCGCCGATTCTCAGAGATTTCGAGTTATCCCGATCCGATTTTGTCCCGATCTTCGTGTCGTTTTAGTGTCTGGGAGTGAGATTCCAGCAGAGAGGAAGAGGACTGGCCCCTGCGGGGGGGGGCGGGGGCTCCCCACCACCCCCGGGAGGGGGGGGGGGGCTGGCCCGAGCGCGCTGTCCGCCAAGCGGCGGGCGGCGCGCCGTTCGGTGCGTTCGCCACCAAGTACTTCCGACAAGAGCAGGTGTGAGCGGGGGGAGGAAGGACCCAGAGATCCAGCGTATGGAAACAGCGAATCCAAGGAGGTTGTTCGCCCGTTTCGGCCTCTATAGAGGCCCTCGCTGGGCCCCGGGGCCGTCAAAAAGACGACTCAGGGTGCTGAACCGGCCCTGTGGAAAGGGTCGTGACCTCCAGGGGTCCCGTATGGAAAAAACAAACAATCTGGGGAGGGGAGGGGGCTTGAATGATATTCCTGCAGAGAGGAAGGGGGGAGGAGGAGGACAAGAACGGAACTCTACAGGAGGAGGAAGAGGAGGAGGAGGAGGAGGAGGAGGAGGCTCCATCAAGGCACCCCCCCGAGCGGCCGTGCGAGCCGGGCAGCCTCCGAGGTCGGGCAGGCTCCAACAACAACAAAACACACGGGGATGAGATACGAAGCCAGGGTGAGGACAAACTCGGATGAGGATGAATCGATCATCTCTGAGATCCAGCGTCTCTGGAGGATGTCTCAAGGCGCCGCGGTCTTCTCAGAGCGTTCCGGAACGATCTGAGAGCGGCCCAGGCAGCATCCGAAAACAGGGCACGGGGGCGAGATGGTTCTCTGATTGCTTCGGGCAAGGGTCCATTTGGAGGCGCCCAGGGAGACACCAACAAGTAGACACGAGTTCCAGGATCCCCCACATGCTCCCGTATTTTGTGGGTGCCCGTCTTCCCCTGCGCTCCCAAGAACTTCTCCAGCATGCTCCTAGGCATCGACGAGTACTTTTGTCTGCGCCTATGCTTGCCTCCCGATCCTTACCCAGGGGGGGGGGCGCTGGATGCCCTCGGAACGGCAAAAGCTCGGGCGGGGTGGGGCACGTCACGGAGGGGGATGCGCTGCGCTCGCCACCGTGAGCGCGCGGACACCAGCACCACGGGGGGGTGTTCGTGCCACTCCCCCTGCGTGCGACCGCTACCCCTGGGCAGGGGGAGCGGGGGGGGTACAGGGCAGTTTTAAGACATCGGATTTTCAACATATGGGATTTTAACACATGATTCATGCATGGATAAATGTATGCATGAGCTCATCGTTGTTTCTAATACAAAATCCCTGCATGTTTTAATACATGATCCGCACGCGGAGAATGTATTAAAAACGGCACTGTAACGACCGGCGCGCGCCAGAGGGCAAAGCACAACCTCGAGAGCGGGCCCCGGAGGCCGAGGTCGAGGAGCCACGCCGGGCTGGAGCACGCACGTCGTTGGAGATCTGCGGGGTTTGGCCCGGGCAGCGACCGGTACGCGCCAGAGGACAAAAGCAGATCTCGAGGCACGTTGACATAATGTGGGATGACGATTAAGAAAAAAAGGAGGGGGGAACCATTAAAAACATAGTTTCCCACACTGGGGGGGAACGCTCAGAAGCAGGGCTCGCCTGTGCGGTGTTTCGTCACCGGGGGGGGCACGCGCCCGAGGACGGCGGGGGGGGGACGATTAAAAAAATAGTTTCCCAGCCCGGGGACGGTTTTTTCTAATCATCATCCCGGGCGCCGCCGCGTGAACACGACCCCCGGTCATTTGTTAATCATCATCCTCCATTACTAACTGTCACTTGGCGGCATACGTGCGAACCGAGCATCTGCAAGTATATCGCTACGTGTCCAGGCGGTGTGGTTGGGAAGCGCCCGCCACCAGACATCTACCAGAAGATTTCTGAGCGCGCGCGTAGCCCATGGAGCCGACGCGCCAAAACTAGAAGCGGGCTTGGGCGACGCCGAGAACACGAGGGCCATGATCAAGACCGCAGGCGGAAACGTCGGGATCGATCTTGGCCACCGTCCATTTTAACCATAAGTAACAAGCTCGCTCATACTCTTCGCGAATCGGCGACGGCGTGTATGGACTGTGACCAAGACCGGCACCGACCATGGAGGCCTCCCAGATGGGGTCGGAGTGCATTGGAGTCTGAGCTTCGCGCCGCATCGCCGATACATCGCGGACGCATCCGTAACGTCGGCGATGCATCGGCGATGCGGCGGCGCGGAGAGTCTCTGGCTCCACGTCCGAGACGGCCCGATGTCCCCCACACCGCCGCGCCACCAGTGCATCGAAACGACGTCGCCGATGCCTCCCCGATGCCTAGCCGATGCGTCGGGGATGTCTCGGCGATGCGGCGCGGACCTCCGACCCCAAGCTACGTCAATCACTCCGACCCAGCTGGGAGGCCTAGGTGGGGAGAGAAAAAAATGCAACTGCCACTACAGTCGGGGCGTTGCCCTGAGGAACCCTAAATAAGGAACGAGGCCAATTTTTTCCAAAAGTTAAACTTCGATTTCCGATCGAAAACATCAGGAAAACCTGAGGCAAGCTGTGAAACACTTAAAGAACGCGGAGCCCCTCCCCAACCAAAAGGGTTCCTTCTTCAGGGCCCCGACTGTACTTCCCGGACCTCGCCCCGGATGCGCCCCGACCAGCATTTCGAAGCGAAGCCAGCCGTGGCGGCGAGGGGCTCCCGAGAGGCCCAAGAGGGGAAAACCGAGTCGAGGGTACCGGCATCGGTATCAGTACCCGAAAATCTGGCGTCTGGATTTGTTCGAACCTCGGGCCCCCGACCTCTCGACCCGTTCCCCAGGACCGGTGTTTCATCCCGAGGCGTTTTTTGACGGCCCCGAGGCCCAGTAGAAGGGTCCGGAGGCCGAAAAGTATGGAAAACCAGACGCTGGATGCCTGGGTCCCTTGTCGTCCTCAGACTGGGGACAAGATTGAGGGGCAACGCTGGGAGGAGAAAGGAGGGGAAAGGCACAGGGGGGGAAACGTCGACCTGGAATCGGCGATGCATCGCCGATAGATCGGCGACAGGCTCCCGACAGCAGCTCCGCGCGTCCCTGGGCAGGTTGGGCCATCGGGCCCCTGTCAGCGATCCAGGGGCGATGGAGGGTCGATGCCCCCCCCCCGCCGCCTGTGCCTGTCCGCCGATTCCCCCCCCCTGTCGTTGCCCCTGAGAGGATGCCGCGCCGTCGTGGCCGTGGTCCCCAGACCCCCGACGTCATGATTTTTGTCAAAGCGTCGACCCCCAGAGGCCTCGGCCCCTCCCCCGGGGACCAGTGTTTCGCCCTGCGTCGTCGTCTGCCCGTCCCGAGGCCCGGCGAGGGACCCCGGAGGCCAAGACTAGCGAACAACTGTCCGTCGCGATTTGTTGAGCATCGTTTATCCGACCCCTATCCCCCCAGCGGCGTGGCCTGGGCCCCACTGGCCGATTTACCCCCCTAGATGGGGATACAGGCCGCTCACTTCGGGTTTCGAGGGGTGTATCCCCAACTGGGGAGGTAATCCCACCAGCCCTCTTGGCGTCGGTGGTTTAGGGAGATTCCTCTTCCACCCCTCCTTCTTCCCCTTCGGGGAGGGGTTTACCCCTCCCCCTACCCCCTCCCCGTGGACCTGGACATTTTACCAAGGTTTTGGCCCCATTTTGGCCTCCTGAGGGGGGGGCCCTAATTAAAGCTCCTCTCTTGTTTGATCGATCTCCTCCAAGATGGCCCCAAGATGGCCCCCAGAGGCCCCCAAGAGGCACCCGGGAGGCCCCCAAAAGGATCCCAAGAGGCCCCAAGAGACCCCCCAGAGGCACCCAAGATGCTCCGAGAGGCCTCGGCGAGAATGCCAAATCATTGATTTTACTAAGGTTTTAGCCACATGTTGGCCTCTTGGGGGGGGGGCACTGATTAAGATGACTCCAAGAGCGCCTGGGAGAGCCCAAAATGACCTCCAAGATGGCTCAAGATATCCCAAGATGTCTCATAATGGCTTCCTCTGTGTGCTGCCCACTTCCCTGATCGAGGCAATTCCTCTGGGCATCGTTTCTGGATGGGCTGGTGGGGATTCGCGAAGCGTCAACAATTTGGAGGGGGTCTCGAAGGGGATGAGGATGGGGATGGGGGTCGGTCAAACGATACTGTTGCGTCCGAACATGTTCTTAGGTTGCAGGGCTCAGGGTGAAATCCAAATATGGGCTTCCGCACTTCGAAAACCAGTCCGTCTCGGGCTCCACCTCTTGCAGACTCAGGCCTCGAAAAAATCCATCGGCGCGGCAGCTCACGGTTCTCCCTCATTGCCCTCCACCCCAAAACGAAACTGCTCGGTTGCTTTGAAGGGGCCCTGGGACACACAAATAAATACACACAAATAACAGGATTCCCCATATTTTCTGATATGTTCTGGGTTTTTGTCTTCCCCCCCACTTCCCATGGTTTCCCATACTTTCCCTGGAATCGACGATTAATGGTGTCTGTGTGTGTTTTTCCCCCTCCTGATGCTTGCCAGTCCCCACCGCGAGGAGGTCTGGCCCCGCGCGTCCCTCTTTGCCCTCGAGGCCTCGGCCTGCGCACCTCCGCGGCGCCGGGGCCGCCGGGGGGCTGCTCCTGCGGCGGGGCGCGGCGCGCGGTCTCCGCGGCCGCGTCGGGTGTTCGGGCCGTGCCGACCTCGGCCTCGGGTTGCTGACACCGCGGGGGTCGTTCCGCCTGGAAGGATCTCAAGGGGCCCAAGGACACACAAATAAATACACACAAATAAAATGATAGTTTCCCATACTTTCCCATGTTTTCTGGGGTTTCGTCTTCCCGTCCAGTTCCCATATTCCCCTGGGGAGTCGACGATTAATTGTGTCTGTGTTTTTTCCCCCCCTGACGATCGGCCGTTGCCGCACCGTCCAGGTCGTTCCACATCGAGCGATTATGCGTCGCCCGCGGCGTTCCACCTCGGGACGCCGCCGGCGGGGTCGCCACGGGTCGACACGACGCGAGCCTGCCGTGCACGCAGGGGCGACCCTGGGCAGGAGTGGACCCTCGGTGCGCGGCTTCGGTGGCAGCGCACGGGAGCCTCCCAGACCATCTTGTCGGCTCTGCGAATCGACCGCGCTATCTCAAAGACTCCAGGGCGCTACTCGACGCTAGAGACAGAATTGCGAGGGTACACAAGGCTCCCACGGTTTGCTACCGAACGCGGCTTTTCTGGGGCCGCGGGGGGGGGGGGGCAACACACAAGCGTGCAGGACGACACGGCCGCCACTGCCGCCACAAGCGTTCGGCGCTCGGGAGACCCCCCGTGGGCCCGCACCAAAGGCCACTCCTGCGAAGTGTCACTCTTGCGTCCAGTCGAGTCGAGCATTCCCGGGCCTCCGACGGCGTGCTCTCGCTTCCGTCCGGGCGCCCTCGCTGTCGGCCCTCCTCGACTCGACGATCGGGGAGGGGGGGGGCGTCCGCGGGCCCCGGTTTGCAGTCGCTTGCGACCCTCGCAGACCGACCCGGCTCGAAAAGTACCGCAGAAGGGTGGGGCCAAGGGCTCTGGCCCGTGCTTATTCGCGATGCCGCAATGTGATTGCAGCGTCGGGTCTCAGGGAAGGGGGTCTGGGGAGGGGGGGAGGCTTCTTAGAAGGAGGCTGCTTCTCAGAAGGCGCGGGCACTGCGTCTACAGATGAAGGCCCGCGCCTTCTAGGAAGCAGGGGTGCGTCTAAGAAGCCTTCCCCCCTCCCCCTATCCCCCTCTGCGCGTGGCCGAGGCCACCAGACGCGGAGCTGTTGTTGAGACCTTCCCTCAGAGGAAGCAAGGGTTATGTTGCTTCGATCTTACTTGAGGACCGCATCCCAGAAATAATTTCGAGCACCCAGAAAAGTGTGGAACTAGGGTCGAACGAGCATCGTCTCCCAGGGCCCGACACGTGAAAACTCTTCTCGGTACTTTCTTGGTGCTCGAAATTCTTTCTGGTGGTCAAGGCTGTTGGGAACATCGTAAGACAAGGGGTCGGGAACTGCGGGGCGGCGGATCGGAAGAGTCACGCCGTCGGATGCCTGGCAGAACGGGCCCTGAGGGAAAGGGGTCCCGTACAGGGAAAAGAGCTCCGTACACCGACGCCTTTTCTCCAGCCCTGCACTGACACTGGCACTGAGGGAAGCGGGTCCTGGTGCATACGGGATCCTGGTGTACACATTGTTCGTTGTCTCACCGGGGAGCGGGGACAAAAGCATGCGTCACACCACCCCGACGTCGTCCCCTGCCCTCAGCAAGTCCTGGAAGAAGGGGAGGAGGGGGAGGGGGAGGAGGAGGAGGATGAAGATGAGGAGGAGGAGGAGGGAGGAGGAGGAGGAGGAGGAGGAGGAATATGAGGAGGAGGAGGAGGAGGAGGAGGAGGAGGAGGAGGAGGAGGAGGAGGAGGACTGGAACCCAGGGCCCTTCCCGTGGGCCGCCGGTTCGTCATCCCGTGTGCCGATCTTTCTGACGGTGCCAGGGCCCCAGGATGAGCCCCAGAGGCTCCATAACACCGAGGACGGGGATTATGGTGTGGCGACATCCGTTCGTGAACCCTACCCACACCTAGGGGAACGACCAATTGCATAAACATAAAAACTCGGAGGTCCGCGCGGACATCTCGGATCCGCGCTGGGGCCCCCCTTGCTGCGCCTCCGGCGACGCCCCTGGCAACCTCCGCGCGCCAGGGAGGGGGGTCCAGCGCCGATCCGAGAAATCCGCGCGGAACTCCGAGTTCTATGTTCATGTCATTGTTCGTTCCCCTAACACCCACCATCAACTCTCATCGACTCTCCTGAACCGATGCGAGGCGGGGGTAGGGTTCGGAGTTTGCCACGTGCTCGACGAATTCCGAACCCCACCCCCCCGCCCATCGATTCGCCTGAATCGATGATCCGCGAGGGCAGGGCTCGGATGCCGCCGCCAAATCAAAGAACCTCGGGGCCCGCTTCCGTCAGGGCCCGTTCTCTTCGTGCCTGGCGAGCCTTCTTGCCCCACGGGTGCTCGCCGGAGGTGGCCAGCTGCTCCTCGCGCCTGGGCCGGCCCCAGCTGCAGCACAACGCCGCGTGCGCCACGGCGAGCACGAGCACGAACGCCACGGCACCGTACATCCACGCATCGGCGCCAGACGCCGTGGCCGACTGCTTGGCCCGGGACTGCTCGCCGTCCTCGGACCCCCGACGTCATGAAGGAGGAGGAGGAGGAGGAGGAGGAGGAGGAGGAGGAGGACGGGCCTGGCTTCTCATCCCGAGCTGTCTTTTGACGACTCCGGGCCTGGTGATGCGGGGCCCCTGCAACGTGCACACCACGTCGCCTGGTCGGGCTGTGTATCTCGGTTTATGGACGCCCTATCTTCTCGAGCACTGGGATGCTGAAGCGTCTATACCCCGAACTCCTTCGACGATTTCATCGGCTCCATGGCCGACCCAACGACACGGTGTCTATGCATCGAGCTCCCTCCGAGAAAGCTGCAAGAGCCGTCCGTCGTGATCTTTCGGAGCAGGGCGGGTTGAGACAACAGCAACTCAAAATCTGTCCTCGCCCCCCTCCCAGGGTCCCAACGCACCAATGTTTTTAGCTGCGCCTGGACGTGGCGACGAGGGCGGGCAACCGAAAATCGACTGCCGTCGCCTCAGATCGGCGGCGAGCCCTGGGGGCAAGTGAGAAGGGGCGGGCCTTCTCAGAAGGCTCGGAGGTCCCCCGGCCTTCTGAGAAGTGTTCGGAGCCTCTGCCGCAGACGCGGAGAACGCCGCGGAAGGCGCGAGGGGGCTCCTGAGAAGCCCCGCCGCCTCCCGAGGAGGCCCTGCCCTTCTCCCCCCCCCCCCCTCGCTCGCCGCCGAGAGGGGAAGGGAGGTGCCGCCCCGAACCCTGGTGGAATCTGGTCATGGCGCATCACATCATCATTGTCGGCCTCATTCTTCTTCGAAGCTGGCGATCTCTGATCGGGCGACTTCAAAAAAAGCATCTCAGTGAAAGATTGGTGCTGATGAGTAGGGACGCTGGTCTTGCCCAGACCCTTGCCGTCGCCCCACTCTTGAGAGAGGGGGGGCGCGAGGCGCGAAGGGGCTCCTGAGAAGCCCCGAGAAGGAGGAGGAGGAGGAGGAGGAGGAGGAGGAGGAGGAAGAGGAGGAGGAGGGAGGAGGAGGAGGAGGAGGAGGAGGAGGAGGAGGAGGAGGAGGAGGAGGAGGAGGAGCCTCCCGAGGAGGCCCTGCCCCTCTCACCACCTCCCCCCCCTCGCTCGCCGCCGCGAAGGGGGAGGGAGGGGGGGAGGGGGGAGGCGGGGGGGGGGATGGGGGCAAAACCGCAGGCCGCCTGCCGCTCGCCTCGGCTCGCCCTCTTCGGAGAGGCCTCTCTCGCGCGGGGGGGAGGGGTCCGGGTCCTGCGCAGGCTCCGGGCCTGGCACGCCCAGGAGGCCGAGCCTGGGGGGGGCAGGCAAGCCAGCATTAGGTCGGGCGTGTCCCCCTACAGCTACAGGGGGGCTTTCGACGAAAAATTAAACATACCCCGAAAATAATCAAAACATAGTCCAAACATAATCTGGGGACTATTTTGTGAATAGTTTCCAACCTTTTTGTTGAATTTTTTCGTCGAAAATCCCCCTGTAGGGGGACACGCCCGACATAAAGCCAGCACCAAAACGCAGTCGGACGGGGCTGGACCTGGACGGCGTTTGCCGTCATCCTTTTGGCTTTCGTTTTCCTCCGTCCTGTCTCCAATACGGAGCCACATGCGAAGCCTACCCCTACCCCTACCCCTCACGATTTCTGGGGGGGAGGGTGGGGTTCCCTTCGCTTGGGAGCTTCCGAGCGAAGCGAACCCCACCCTGATCCTCAGAAATCGTGGGGGGTATGGGGTAGGGCTCGCATGTGGCCTCCATATCCAAGCCGCCCTGGCCGCAGCACGACACCGAAACGAAAACATGGCCCACGACATCGCCAAGACACCGTTTGCGTACTCTGTGTCCCTCAATAGTTTTGGGGGTACCTGTAATCCGGGGGGGTACCTATAGTCCGGGGGGGGGGGTAGTCCGGGGGGGTACCTGAAGTTCGGAGGGGGGTTACTTGTGTAGTCCCGGGGGGGGTATACCTGTCCGGGGGGGGTACCTATAGTCCGGGGGAGGGGTACTTGTAGTCCGGGGGGTACCTGTAGTCCGGGGCCCCAGAACTATTGAGGGACACAGAGTAGGCCCACATCTGCGTTCGGCGCTCCGCGCGCACTCTGTGGATCCGCGCTGGGCCGCCCTCCCTGGCGCGCGGGGCGCGCCAGGGGTGGCGCCGGAGGCGCCGCCTGGGGGGGGGGGCCAGCGCAGATCTGAGACATTCGCGCGGAGCTCCGACCGTTTGAGCTTGTGCTGTGTATGACTCGCATTATTATTACTGGTACTATTATTAATTCATTATTATTCTTATCATCATTATTATTATTATTATTAGTATTATTATTATTATTATTAATAATAATATTATTATTATGATCATTATTATTATTAGTTTGCTTATTCTTCTTACTTCTTCGGATGTTTCTCATTCTAACTCGTCTTCTTCTTCTTCGGGAGCCAGCGCTCTGGGTACAGCTTGGCGCCGCCGCCGGTCCACCGCCCCTCGCCGCCCCAGGGCCACGCCCGCGAGGGCGGCGCCGGGAAGAGCGCCAGCGTGGTGCCGTTGGGCAGGGCGGAGGCAGGCTTGGCCGGCGAGGCGACCAGCCCACCTAAAAGGGGCCCTGGGACACGCGAAGAGATGCACAGATCCCAGGATGCCCCATAGTTTCCTACATTTTGGACGCCCGAAATGGGCACGGAAAGAATGGGTACAATGCCCAACAACAAATGTTGTCCCAAACCAACAGCGGCCGCTGTTGGGCAGGCGGCCTCCTGTCTCGAGTGGACAGAGGCCGCGGCGGCGCGGACAGCGAGTCCTGTTCAAAATGAACAGGAACTGCTGCTGGGCATCGTACCCATTCTTTCCGTGCCAATCTCGTTCGTGCAGATACATGCTCTGGGTGTGCGTCTTCCCCCCCTCCCGGTCCATCTTCTCACACCTGTTCCTGGGAGTCGTCGACGGAGTGTGTCTGTGTGTCTTTCCTCTCCCGACACCCGTGGCAATGAACAGAGAAAACAAGAATAGTAGTGGCTGTGTATTCCAGAAGAAGAACCAGCGGCATGAGCAGAAACTGTTTGGCGCTTCGCGCGGGTGTCTTGGATCTGCGCTGGACCCCCCTCCCGGCGCGCGGCGCGCGCAGCGCGGAAGGGGCGGCGTCGGAGGCGCCGCCGGGGTGGGGGGGCCCAGCGCAGATCCCAGAAATCCGCGAGGAGCGCCAACAGTTTGTGCTTATAGCGTTTTCTTCTTCGAGTATTCATCGTGAATGGACGCTGGCCGAAGCCACGATGACGAGAGCCATCCAAGTTTCTTCAGCCGAATCGGCTGCGGGAGAGGGAGAAGAGCGGCAACGGAGTGGGAGAGGCAGAGCAGGAGGTGGACACTGGGGGGGAGCAGAACGAGTAGGTAGACGGGAGGATGGAGGTTCGAGGGGGGAAAGAGGCGGGAGGAAATGGCGATGAAAGGTTAAGAGTAATTTGGAGTAGGAATGAGAACCAGATGCGATGCCAATTACGATCAGACCTGACACCTCATGGCCCCCCGCGCGCCATTTCGGGAAACTCCCTCACCGCCAACCTGTAGGCTGCGATGGAGTTTATCGCAATTCGCCGCCGGGGAGGTGGAGGCGCGCAGCTGCGGTGAAATGCCAGCCCTGCGGGCGGAGGCTATTTCGAGAAACTACTCGCAGCCAGCCTATAGGCTGCGAGGTTTCCGTTGGCGATCGAATCTTCCAAATCCCTCAGTGCACCGAACGCACTGAGTGGTTCACCAAAGGCGCCGTCGCCAACATGAACATCACTCATGTAAGTTCGCATCCAAGGCGTTGTAAGGCGGCACCGTCGCTAAAGAGTAGCTCGCGGCATGAATTAAAAAGCCATCCCGGCAGTTGCATTCCATCCAGACGGTGGAGAGGAGCAATCCTGAGGGAAGGAACAAACGAGCGAGGCTGATCATGCCAAAGAGTGGGAGCGAGACTCCTCGCCGTGAAGAGGGGCAGGGGTTGGCATCCCGGGATCTCTTGGGAGCCCGGGAAGACGTTCTCTGTCGAGCATGTCACGGTGCTTCCTTCGGGCACCCTCCCGCCGCGGGGCCCCCTGGGGGGTCCTGGGGTCATCTCGGGGCAATCTGGGGGGGGACCCTGGGGCACACTACAGGGCAGTGTTTAAAACATGGGATTTCTCAAATATCAGATTTTAATACATGACTAATTGATCAATCAATGTATGCATGAACTCATCGTTGCTTTTAGTACTGAGCCCCTGCATTTTTAATACATGGTCCGCACGCGGAGCATGTATAAAAAACGGCACTGTAAAAATCATCTGCGGATGCCTTGGGTACGTTTTGTTTGTTGGGGGGGAGTGGGGGAGAGGGTGGGAGCGGACGACATGCTTCAACAACCACGGGAAGCAGGCCTTAAGCAGGAAAGAGGGGCAGCCATGTACACTGCGAGGCAACGTACATAAAAAGGTGGGCGGGGCGAGGGAACGAGGAGACTGAACATCATGACTACGAGCGTGTGGATGCCTCGGCTGCTACACAAAGTGGTCTCCTGCCTCCGTCCAATCCCTCCTGCTGCGACCCTCTCCTCCGCCGCCTCCTCCCTCATCCCTTCTCAGTCCACCTCCTCCCGCGCGCATTCCCGCGCCCGCGCGGAGGGACGATGACAACGACGACGACCACCACGAGGAGGATGATGATGCTGATGATGGTGATGGTGATGATGGCGACGATGATGAAGCTATGGTGGTGATGATTATTATCATGATATGGTGATGGTGACGATGACGATGGTGATACTGAGGAGGATCGATCATGAAGATACTGCGGAGGAGGAGGAGGGGGAGGTGCAGGAAGGGAACTTTGGAGCGGCCGTGGCGCGATGGGGCCGTATCGAGAGCGCCGTTCTTGTTCTACGAATCGGCCTTGCTCCCTGTTCGTCCAGACTAAGTATCCCAAGTCGGCGACCTGCGTCTGCCAGCGAGGGTGCGCCCCGTGCCAGTTGACAGCTCGTCTGTGGCGACGTCTGCATCCTCCTATAGATGCCTCTTCCACCTCCTTCCCCAGACTTCTCCTCTGAGCATAGTTGAACCGATCCATGTCCCCACTGGCGTGGCCTTGACCTCACTGACCCACTTACCACCATGATGCCTTCGGGTTTTGAGTGGACCATCCCCAACTCGAGGGGTTGGGATGGGGGGGGGCTGAGATCACATGACCCAGTCGGGATGGGGAGCAGTTAACCCATGCCTATCATCACCCTCCGCATCCCAGTCCTGGCATATGCGGCCGAAACGTGACGAGGTAGACGAGGCAAGAGGAGAGGGAAGACGAGAGCCCAGCAGCAGCACCACTACCGCCGAAGTGGCAGCGGCTGCACCACGAGCAGCAGGGAGCAGCCGATGGGAGTGGACACGGACCATGGAGATCGATGTTTGCGGCTGGTGCTCGACCTCCTGTGTGGTCACGCAGCGGCCCCTCTGCGGAGACTCAGAGATTGGCACGGCTCCTGTGCTTCTTGGCTTCAACAAACTGCGACACCAGAGTCTTGGGATCGAAAAAGTCCCTGTGCTCGATCACAAAGGAACCTTTAAACCGCAAAAACGTTACTCCAGAAAACGAGTATCTCCTCCCTGTGACTTGATTGGTTCCTTCGTGTAGCCAGCGGAGAAAGGCGACGTTGCCTTGTACTGCAAGGTCCTCCACTCTCTGCGTGATCTCTCCAATAACCCCGCCAGCCTGAGCGAGGTGCTTGGTTAGATTGGCCTTCGAATCGATGTTGCCGCTCAGAGGGTCGCTGAAGCTCACCTCGTCGGCCATGAAAGATAGCATTCCCTTGTGATCGTCAGTGAGAAATGCGGCCAAGTACGCTTCCAAACTAGCCTCCATTGTCTGGCGCTCTGGCGTGGCAGCGGGGAGCAAGTGCAAGCACGCTGATGTGAGCCAGGCTTGCTTGAACCAAAATGGCTCGGACCGTGTCGAGGTTGATCTGGGGCGGACTCCAGCTCACTTCGAGCCACGTCCTACGAGTCTGGTCACAATAATTAGCGAGACAAAACTGAATGAGCATCGCTTAGCCGATCCCCATCCCCAGCGGCGTGGCCTGGGCCCCACTGGCCGATTTAGCCCCCTAGATGGGGATGTAGGCCGTTTCCTTCGGGTTTCGAGGGGTGTATTCCCAACTGGTGGGGGTCTCGAAGGGGATGACAATGGGGATGGAGATCGATTAAACAAGACAACATTGAAGTCGCGCCGCGGGGAGCTTGCCCCCGCACTTCAAAGTCGAGACCAGCGCATCGAAGTGGTGCACGAGCGGGGCGGCATCCAACCCAGAGCCCAGCGCTTCCGTCAACCTTGAAGGAATGGCCCCCCCTCAACTTTGCAAGAGGCCGCTCGGCGATTGCGCATGGCCGAAGCCACCCGGCGTCGTCGTGTGGATTGCGTCTGCTCGTACGCAGGGAGATAGCAGCATGCGGAGCTCGTGTGATGGGGGACGTGAGGGGGGAGTGGCCAAGGGGGGCGGAACGTCGAGCTCGAATCGGCGACACATCGCCCCGATAGATCGGCGATAGGCCCCCGATGATGAATCCGCACTTTCCTGCGCGCGGACCGTCAGCACACATCTTCGAAGCAGGGACGCGCCCAGACGAAGGAAAAACGGCATGAACATGAACTCTCGACGGTCCGCGCGGATGACTTGGATCCGCGCTGGACCCCGCGCGCCAAGGACGGCGCCGGAGGCGCCGCCGGGGAGCCCCAGCGATGATCCGAGAAACCCGCGCGGAGCGTCAAAAGCTTGCGTTTATGCCGTTGGTTCTTCTTCGTGTGCCCCAGCCCAGCCAGAACACTGGACAGCGCACATGCGGCAGAGGCGTCGTGCGGCATGCCCCTGCTGTGACCGCAAGCGGCGGCCGTATCCCTCTCCAAGGCAGCGCAGAAAGCCGCGAGCTGGCGCACACGACGCCTCGCAGCACCCCGAAGTGCACGGATTCCCCCAGGGCCGTAGGCGACCCGAGAAGGAGGAGGAGGAGGAGGAGGAGGAGGAGGAGGAGGAGGGGGGAGGAGGAGGAGGAGGAGGAGGAGGAGGAGGAAGAGGAGGAGGAGGAGGAGGAGGAGGAGATAGAGGAGGAGGAGGAGATAGACGAGGAGGAGGAGGAGGAGGAGTAGGAGGAGGAGGAGCGGAGGAGGAGGAGGGGAGAAGGAGGAGGAGGAGGAGGGAGGAAGGAGGAGGAGGAGGAGGAGGAGGAGGAGGAGGAGGAGGAGGACGGGTCGCCTAGTGTGGTGGGCCAGACCGTAGCTTGTTCGTGCCTGTGCAATGCGAACGCCGCCGCAAGGAGCCCTGCCAAGAAACCTACGTAACGCCGGAAAACCGCGCGCGCTGTGGAACTGGGGGGACAGCCAAGGCGCCCTGAACGTAGCAGCTCCTTAACGGCCACGGGCAGTCACCGCACAGCGCGTGCAAAGAAGAAGCCCAAGGCACCCTGACAAAAAGCGCCTGGCCTCTTGCTTGCCGTCGCTCGGACGTCCATTCAACGTCCACGTTTCGATGTCCTGCTCCTCCTGCTCCTCCTCCTCCTCCTCCTCCTCCTCCTCCTCCTTTTCCTCCTCCTCCTGCTGCTGCTCCTCCTCCTCCTCCTCCTCCTCCTCCAACTCCTCCTCCTACTCCTCCCTCCTCTCCTCCTCCTCCTCCTCCTCCTCCTCTCCTCCTCCTAGCCCCGCCCCACCGGGCCACCAAGGGCCGAAACAAACTCAGCCCTTCTCCTCCTCCTCCTCCCTCCTCCTGCCTCCTCCTCCTCCTCCTCTGCTCCTGCTCCTGCTCCTGCTCCTGCTCCTGCTCCTCCTCCTCCTCCTCCTCCTCCTCCTCCTCCTCCTCCTCCTCCTCCTCTCCTCTCTCCTCCTCTCTCTCCTTCTCCTCCTCTCCCCTCCCTCCCCCCTCCCCCTCCTCCACCTCCTCCTTCTGCTCCTCCTCCTCCTCCTCCTCCTCCTGCTCCCCCTCCTCCTGATCCCCCCTCCTCCCTCCTCTCCTCCTCCTCCTCCTCCTCCTCCTCTCCTCCTCCTCCTCCTCCTCCTCCTCCTCCCCCCCCCCCCTCACCCGTCTCCTGCAGCTTGATCTGTCGGCAAGCGCATGGGGAGCGCCACACTTCGACCCGCCGCCTCTTGAGGTCGACAACGGGGGCAGATGTAGCCCAGGGGAGAGCCATATCCGTATCCCAGGGGCGCCAATGGTCCATGCCTTCGGCGAGGCTCCCTGGCGAATGCGCATAGAGCTCACCCCTTGGCTCTGCACCCCGATCGTCGCCCCCTGGGCTATATTATATTCGCCCCTATCGTGCAGCCGCGTGAACATCCGCAAGGAATGAGAAGAATGGCCAGTGTCCCGTGAGGATGCCGAAGGCACGCTGGGTCGCGGCGAGGAGGGAAGGTTTACCGACGACTTGCGCGGCTGAAGGACGTCAGGCGTGGTGAGAGCGCGCCTGAACCTGACATGTTTCCCCTTCAGATCCCCTGCCGCCCTCTCCTCTTCTGACGCCTACTCCCCTTCCTCTGCCCCCCCTCCTGCGACCCCCTGCCTCCCCTCAGCCTTCCTTCCCCAACGCCCCGCCCCCTTGGGTGGACACACAAGTCCGATACCGCTGCTCCGCACACCTCTCCCAGGGTGCGTTCTGACCCAGATTCCGGGGCGTCCCCAGCTGCTGCCGTGGAGACGAGGGACGGGTCGGCGGTGTCAGTGCTCTGTCCTCCCCCGACTTCCCCTGCGGCTCAGCCCCGAGCCCCTCCGCTCCCCTCCCTGGGATCCGACGCTGCAAAGCAAAAACCACATCGCAAACTTTCACGGCCAGAAGCCCGCAACCAGCGACCCGGACACCATCCGTATGCGCCAACTTTCGAGTCGGATCGAGCTGTGAGGGGGTCCCGGGGCCCGACACCCGGCGAGAACGCTCGCTCTGTGAAAGAACTGGAACGCCCGGATCTGAGTGTTCGCCCACCCCTGACTCCGGATCCGCCCTACTTTGGCTTTTTTCCCAACTTAAAATTGCGTCGGAAATCCACCTATAAGAGGCCGAAAAAGTAGGGCGGAAATTGCTGCAGCCAACATAAAATAGGGCGGAAATCTACAGAAACAGCAACAGAAAAGTAGGGCGGAAATTGGCATCAGCGGGGCTTGAAAAGTAGAGAGCGGAAATTCCAAGCCCCACTTACGAATTTCCCCAAAGTAGGGCGGATCCGGAGTCAGGGACGACTCTGCCCCGACCCCCTCCGTTCCCTCCCCGCCGCCCCTTCAGTCACCGCGCGAGTCCTGTCCAGCGACGCGCTCACGACAACGCCGAGCCCGCTGTCGGCGCACACGGCGGTGACCTGGTCCGAGTGCCCGAGGAGCGGCGGCGACGCCTCTCTGCCGAGGCATGCTGGGAGGATGGCCAGGACGGGCGAGAGAAGCCCAAACTACACACATCGGCGGCAAGCCCTAGGTGGAGCCAAGATTTCACACATCGGCGGCACGCCCTGGGGGGAGCCAGAACTACCATGGGGGGCAAGCCGAAACGGCATGCATCGGCGGCAAACCCAGGGGGGAGGTCAGAGGGAACCCGGACTGCATACATCGGCGGCAAGCCCAGGGAGCCCAGAAAGGGGAGGTCAGAGGTCAGGGGAGCAAGCCCAGAAGAGGACGGGGGAGCCAAAACTGCATGCATCGGCGGCAATTGCCCAGAGGGGGGGGTCTGAGGGGGCGGGCCTTCCCAGAAAGCTCGGAAGGCCCCTGGCCTTGTGACAGAAGGGGTCTGAGCCTTCTCCGAAGACATGGGCGGCGTCCTGGACGGCGCGAAGGCCTCGGCGAAGCACCGCCGCCTTCCGAGACGGCCTGCCCCTGCTCATTTCCCACCAGGACGCGCGTCCGAATGGACGAGCTAAAATGATGTACAGTTATATACTTATATCTATATTGTGTATATATGTATATATATACATGTATATACATTCCTATATATGTATGTGCACATATATATATATATATATATATATACAAGACTGCATTGGCGCTTCGCGCCATGCGTCTTGTTCCGGACGCATCCCTGGCAAAGCAATCAATCATCGCTTGCTTCAGCAAGGGGACCTCGAGACCTGGACGGGCGATGGGCTCATTTTTCTAATACCCCTGGTGTCTGCTGACACCGCGTTTGCCCGATGCGCTTGCACGCTTGTGCGCAGGAGGAGGGAAGGAATGATGATTTGGTCACACGCGAAAGTCCTTCGAGGAAGTAAGGAGCGTTCCCATGGCACGCCGACACAGTCGCAGTAGCTCCGCACCAATCGATGTTTGGTCGCTTCCTGAATGCCTGGAGGGCCCAGGCACTCAGGAAATCTTCGATCGTCGAACTCCGAATCTAGATCCATTACCTGTCTCTCTCGATCGAGGAACTTAAACCTCGAGCCTCAAGCTTGGAACAAGATCGTCGGGTCAGCCCGATACTGTACTTCGTAGGAGATAGAAACCTGTGCATTTTTGGGGCTGTTTTGCGCCGTCCTTGGGCCCTCTTGGGCCGTCCTGGGGCCTTCTTGGACCGTCTTGGGGAGCTCGGACCCTCCGGAGATCTTCTGAAGCCATTTAGAGCCCTCTTGGGGGCCTCCGATGGTCTTCTTGCGGGTCTCCCATGGTTTTCGTGGGTCTCTCTTGGGAGCCTTTTGGGGGCACCTTGGGCTTCTTGTGGGCTGTCTCGGCGCGCTCTGCCCGAGAGCCCTCCATGCGAAGCGGGGATTTATCCATATCCGCCGCCTGGGGACGGGACGTCCTGGGGACCCAGCGGGCGGTGGAACTGGATATCTTTTGGCCCCCGGCCCCCAGGGACCGAAATATAGCCACATCCACCGCCTGTGCAGGCCCACGGAAATTGGTGCTCCAGGCGGTGGTTCTGTATGAGTCCCGCTTCGAGCTCCAGAAGCGCCAGGACGCGCACGAGACTCAGCGAGGCTCTCCCCCCAGAGGCAGGTCGGCAGAACGCCTTGCGGTGGCCCTTCCTCGTACTTTGTTCAAGCGCCGCGCTCTCGACGCCCAGGACTCCAGGATCCGTCGGCATCGAATCGGCACATCTTGCCATCGCTCGGACGTGCTTTCCCCGTGTGTTGTTCGTTCTCGTGCGTTTTTTTTTTTTTTTTTTTTTTTTTTTTTTTTTTTTTTTTTTTTTTTTTTTTTTTTTTTTTTTTTTTTTGTTTTTTTTCTGTGCCTCGATGATCCAGGATGCTTCTAGATGTTCCGCGCCGAGAAAAATGCACGCGTCCGAGCGATGCCCGAGCGATGCCAGGACATCGGCTCAAGACGAAATGTGCATCGGATCGGGCTGCATTGGCACGATATCGAGATGGAGTCGGATCGGCTGCGCCAGGATGCACAGCAGCGCAGTGCAAGCATCAGGCCGTATCGGATCGTCGGAATACCAGGATCGAATCGGATCGGGCCGGCCGGAATCGACATCGAATCGGATCGGAATGGACTGGACCCTGGAAAATGCGATGTCGCACGAGACGTCCTCACAGTTTGACCGCACTGCTCGAGAGCTCGCTCTCGCGCTCGAGGCTTCTTCGCAAGTTGCGAAGTTCGCTGCAATGCTGGAAAGGCGAGGGGCGGCCCACTGGCGAGGGTTCGGGTTGTGCGCAGAGGGCCTCGCAGGTAGTTCCCGCTGGCCTCAGCAGGTTCGCCGAGTACACCCTGCGAAATGCTTAAGAAATCATGGGTTAAGAAATTCATAGTCTCAGAACTTGAATAAAAACCCGACATTTCCATTAAGATCTTAAGATCTACATTGAAACGGTTTCCGAAAACTTAAGTTTTCTTACGCATCGCCTAAGGTGTAGTCCCAGCTGGCCTCCACAGGCCCCCCGAGCCCGTCTGGGGCGGTCTCGACGCCTTGGCGCCGACTAGGGGGCGGCGCCCCTGGAGCGCTCGGAGATCCGACGTCGCAATCAAGAATTAATAGGGGGCAAACAACCCTACCTCGCTTTTGACCACCCTCGCGTCCAAGAGATACCAAGCGATGCCAAACCACGGCATGTACTGGTCAGGCGGCTTGACGAGGAGGCGTATGGTATGACTTGGTTTTGCCTGGAAGCGAAAGCGGGGTAGGTAATTCACGCTCTGAATGAAGGGCCCGCGGCGCGCAGAAAGCGGCGGCCTCCGCCAGCTCGTTCCTGCCGTCCACCATGGTCGTGGTCCACTCGAAGAGCCGCAGGGACCCGTCCTTTTGGACCGGGGAGGGGTTCAGTCGGGGTCGATTGGAGAAGCAAAAAACTGCATAAACATAGACTTTCGGAGCTCCATGCGGATTTCTTGGATCGGCGCTGGGGCCCCCTGGCGGCCCCTCTGGCGCCGCCCCTGGCGCGCTCCGCGCGGCAGGGAGGGGGGTCCAGCGCAGATACAAGAAATCCACGCGGAGCTCTAAAAGTTTATTATGTTTATTTTTATTCTTCGAGTAAGAGGACACAAGACCCTTCCCAGGGCCACATTGCCACAGGAATGTAGAAGGCGTGAGTCGCGAAGCACAGGACGCAGGGGCACCCTTGATTTGGCAGGGTCGACCTACTCATCAGCCACGACTGTACGGACAAAAGGGTGTGGTACCCAACCACACATGCTGTCCAACACCGACAGCAGCCGCTGTTGGGCAGGCAGCCTTCTTTCTCGAGAGCCTTTTTGTTTAGACTCCAGTAAGTTTACCGGCCTGGACGCGGGGGGGGCAAGAACCTGAAGCAGGCCGCAGAGGACCCGCGTGTGCGGAAATCACGCAAGTCGAAAGGCACCTGCACGCCAGTGTCCGTTGGACGAGGGGCGAGGGGGAGGGAGGGGGCGAGCGCCACGCAAGAAGAATTGCCCGCGTCCCAACCTCGGGGACGTCCAACACCCCCGGTGCGTAAACCGCGGTCTCCTGAAAAAGCGACCTCGGGCCCCATCCTGGCGGGCGCGAGCCTGGCAAATTGCCGGCCGCGGCGCCCCCTCGAGGACCGACAACGGAGAATTCACCAGTCGGCGTGTCGGGGAGGGGGTGCTCTGCCCGCCCCCCGAGGTCAAGCCCGGGCTCTTGCCCGCGAGGGCCGCGGCCAGGGCGGCGACGACGGCCCTCCCCAGCGTGTGCCGCCCCGCGGGGCCTCAGCCGGCGGCCTCTGGACGCCGCGGCCGGATCCGCTTCGAGAGGCGGGCCCTGGGTGGGCCCTCTGCGAGGGGGCTGGCTACGCCTCAGATGCGGAGTCGGGATCTTAGATACGCAGAAGGCATCTACACACCACCACCGTGCCAGGCCAGGGCCATCCTGGGCCCTGGGATGGTGTATACGCCCTCCTGGCTGGGCCAGGAGGGTAGATACACACTCCTGGGGCCCAGGATGGCCCTGGCCTGGCACGGTGGTGGTGTATAGATGCCTTCGTCGGATTAGAGTCAGGTCGGGCACGTCCTCCTACAGGCGGAGTCTGGAAGGAAGGTGGCACGCGGTCAAGGAATACTCGTCCCCACAAGAGTCACAGGAGCACGGAACATCGTCCCCAGATTATGTTTGCACTCGTCTTGCACATTCCTCTTGTAGAAAGACATGCCCGACGTAATGTTGGAAGGATACGCGTCGCCGCGCCGCTTGTTCTCGACGCGACCAAAGGGGACGACGCCGACACCACGGCAAACCCACGGCAAGCCCCGACCCCGCGCCCCAAGGAGACGCAGCCGGCGCCGCGGCAAACCCACGGCGAGCCCACCGCGCCCGAAACGGCGTTTGCCCTGGTGGCCGCGGCGCCCCCGCCAAGGCGGAAGGCCGCGCGTCGGAACTAACGGCGCGGCGACATCTGCACACAAATCGTCACAGCCATCTATGTCAAACTTTACCGAAGTAGGTAAAGATGGCCGATCGGTTATGTTTGACCTGCTGCTGTCTCTAGGGAGAACCGTCGTTGTCGCAACCTCAGGCAAGGCATCCGATGTCTTGTTGTTGATGGTGCTGGTGCTGCTGCTGCTGCTGCTGCTGTCCTAAAGGCCTTTCCTAGAGGCCTCCTAGACCGGGTCGGAGTAGATGGGGTCGGAGGATCGTGCCGCATCGCCGATACATCGGCGATGCATCGGTTATGCACCGGCGATGCATCGTCGACGTGGGCATTGCATCGGCGACGTCGACGTGAAGTAAATCGGGCTCCGCGTCGAGCCGCATCGGCGATGCATCGGCGATGCGGAGCGATCTTCCTACCCCATCAACTCCGACCCCATCTAACGGAGGAGGAGGAAGAGGTGGAGGAGGAGGAGGAGGAAAAGGAGGAGGTGCAGGAAGAGGAGGTGGAGGAAGAGGAGAAGGAGTTGGAGACGGAATTGGAGGAGGAGATGGAGGAGAACTTGGAGGAGGAATTGGAGGAGGAGGAGGAGGAGAAGCCTAGATTTCCCCGGGGCCGGCTTCTCATCCCGGGTCGTGAATTGTGCTGACGGTCCTGGGGCCCGGTGAGGGCCCGGGGGAGACGAGCAACGTTCCAAGCGCCTTCCGTCGTGATGCTTATGCGGCGCTGGCTCGTTGGGGGGGGAGGACGCGCGGGAGAGGGGAGCGGGTGAGAGAGCATCGCATCGCATCGCAAGCCATACGCCGAAAGAGGGCGTGGATAGAGCTAGCACGCGCAGTGATGGGCGGCGCCTCTCGCCCAAGCGTTGCTGCCGCGCGCATGCAGTAGGGGCCCGACCACAAGAAACCTTCCACAAGGAACCCAACCCTGAGACCCCAGGACGTCCATTGATTTCTGGTGCGGACCATCGCGCCTACTGCAGCAAAACCATCGAATCCTAAGAAACCCAGGGCCCCCTGGAGGCAAGCAGGGTGTTTCTTGGCATGGGTCTCCACTGAACTTCTGGTGCGCGCATGTGCGCACGGGGAAAGGGGATATGTGCAAAAGCGGAAGGAGGAACGCACATGACGACGAGGCGAAAGCCCGGCGGCGTGCAAGGGGAGGGGGGAAGTGCAACGGAGAAGGCCTGCTCAGAGGGCGGCAGGGCCTCTCAGAAGCCCTCCGGGCTTCTGAGAGGCTTCTTTGGGGATCCCAACGCCGTGTGGTGACAGACCGAGCGGTGACCTCGGAAGTCCCAGAGACCTCACCGCACGGTCCGTCACTGCACGGTATTGGGACCCTGGAGGCCCCTGTGGCCCGAGACATCCTCGGAGAGAGACTCGAGTCCCAAAGCCGTGCGGTGACCCCGCACCCCCGCCGACTCACCACACGGTGTGGTCACCACCTCTTTTGGGGGGCCCCCGACTGCTGCGTCTTCGTTCGGAGAGGGGGCGGAGAACTTCCCCCCGGAGGGGCGGGGTGGGGGGGGGCACCTTCGAGCCTTCGGAGAGGGCCTTCTCTCTTTCCTCGCCTCCCCCCCATCGGGGCTCGCCGCCGAGAGGTTCCCTTGGGGGGGGAGTGGCGAGAGATGGGCAGGAGGGAGGCGCGGGAGGATTGTGGATGCCACGACAATGGACACCCTCACAACCCTACCATTGAACCAACGATGTGTTCAAAATGTTCGAACCATGTGTTCAAACTGTTAGAAGCATGAGTATTGTATGGTTAAGACATGTTTAAAACATGTTTTAAACACCTTGAAAGTATTTGGCAACACGCTTCCTTTCCATTGGTTGTCGTCCACAACGAGAGGAGGGGCGGACGAGGATGACTCAGGACGGGGAGCGGGGGGGGAACCCTCCACTCGCTACGCAAAGGGCCTGGCGAGGAGGCGGCGTGCCGCTGCACAAGGGGCGGAGGCACGGCGCCGAAGACATCGCGCCTGCTCAACACGAGCTCACAGGGCCCCAAATGCGCCCCAGGCGCCCCCAACAGAACGCCCAAAGTCATGAGGCAAATCCTGGAGGCCTCGCGCGGCAACTTTGGACACGTCGGATGCACGTCGGATCCACTTCGGATTTACGTCGGGTTCACGTCGGAATTGCGTCGGATGTACGTCGGACTGACTCCAGAGCATCGCCGCGCGAGCGTCGACCCATAGCTTACGGAGCTGACGTGTGGACTAGATAATACTACTATTACGCGCCGCGCGAGGCCTCCAGGATTTTCCTCATAACCAAAGGGTGCGCGAGGAAAGACCCACGATGAAGCTACTGTCTGGCTCTCAGGCGGGGCACGTCGACAAGCGCTTTCCCTGTTTGAGCCGATGGCCTCTCGGATTGCTCCAGAGGCTCCCAGAAGAGCCTCCCTCGCCATCGCTCGGACGGCCATTCCCCGTGCATGTTTCGGATGTGTGCGTGCATTTTTTCGCAAGATGGCCCGACAGGCTCCTCGATGGCCCTCGCCGAATCAAAATGCACACACCCGAGCGATGCCAAGCTCAATGCCCCAAGAATGCCTCGAGGCTTCCAACATGCAAGCTCCACAAGCGGGCTGCAAGAGGCCTCCCAGAGGCTGCCAGGGGTCTCCAAGTTGTCACCTGCTGGAGGCTACGCTTCGGGATGACTGGCGTCCCCCCTCCTTGGTCCACTGGTGCTCCCCCACTACGCCTCCCACAACAGGTCACGTCGGATCTGCACTTTGTCCTGCTACATTCTTAGAACATGGGAAGTGAACGAAGCAGAGGCTCAGCAGGACTTCGCCAACCCTTTATGCAGCCTAGCTGGCGACGCGTCAGGAAACTAGCAATACCGTGCCCCGTCGTTTTCACGGGCGTTGCGACCATCTGTCAGCAACACGACATGAAACTCGGAAGATGCCATCTGCATGTCCTGCTGAAGTAGGTCGTACTTGCGACCAGACCCCGAATCACCGATCTGGCCGCGTTTGGCATGGGCGTCGGCCCTGTATGCCGATATTGTGATGAAGCGGCCCACAGCTCCAAGTTATTGCTGCCAGAATCGTGATTGCTCGCGTCGTAGTTGTGGCAAGTGCTGCTGATTGAGCCGCTGTCTGGCGCTGTGTTTGCTGGCTCGGCTCTGTCCACGTGCTTGAGGCTGCTGACTTCGATGTGATGACAGTCCTCACGGTTTCATTTTCATGATGTGGGGATATGGCAAGTGTCAACGAAGATGCTGATCATTTATCACTCGCTGCGTGCGCTGTAGGACGGTGGCCACTTCTTTAGTTAGAGTCCACGAGCTGCAACCGGTCATCACGGCAAGCGCCAGGCTTCTGACGAAAGTGCGAACGCAACTTGCAAAGAGGGTAGCTAGGTTGAGGTCTGGTGATCTGGGAAGAGGCTGGGCATGATGGCCTCTCCTTTGTCATTATCTTCCTCAGATTCCCCCTTCCTGAAAAAAACAACAACAAGGGTTCACCGGCTCAGGGGGGAAACCGTCGAGCTGGAATCGGCGTTACACCGCCGATAGATTGGCGATTGCCCCTCGGTAGCAAATCCGCTCGCTCCTGGGCGGAGTAGGCTATGGGGCCCCTATCGGGAATATGCGGGCGACTGGGGGTCGATGCATCCCCCGCCCCCGTGAACATCTCCCAAAACGATGTTCGTCGTCTGGTTCTCGGGTCAGAACTCGGGACTCCGGCGGCCATTCGGGATGAGCAGGGCCCCCCTGAAACGCTGGAACGCACCCCGAGACTGGAAAACCAATGAGAACCGACGAAAACGCTGCCCGAAAACGACAGACCAGGCCCGAAATGCATACCGCCTGAGCGTATCCTGGGACGCACGGAGGCATACTGATACCGTATGTCCTCCTTGGAGGCGCGCGTCCGACCCGAACATATCGTATACCCACCTTGTAGCATATCGTGTCCGAGCGGCGTGGGCCAGAAGGCGCCCGCCACGGAGCATATATGCTCGAAGATGTCTCGGGTCGCGCGCGGGAGGCCGACGCACACACATTGTCTTGGTATGGTGGGGTGACGTCGATATCCCCCCAGCGTCGCCTGTGTTTGGATAGTTTTTGGCAAATAACATTAGCTTTGCGCAAAATCGCAACATGAATCGCAACAATGAATTTCAAACTTAAGCAAACAATGAAGGCAGTGGGTGATGATAGTGCCTGAGAATTGGTACCGCGAATGCTTCAAATTACAATGGACGGCCCTGACTTCCTCACGCAGCTGCACGCAAGATTGGCCCTACGCAGCGCGGCTGCACAAGGGCGCGGGGGCCCAAACCCAGGCCCGCAAACCGCTGCTACCTCTCAGCGTTGCTCGATCAGAGTGCTCCCATTCTGGCGCCCCAGACATTAGGCAGCCCCACTCGACTCCTTTCTTCGAGCCCCTGCCTGTTTCGAGCTCTCTCCCAGCGTTTGTGGCAGACCCTGACCCTTTTGGCCTGCTTCGCGCGACCCCGATGATGCTACTTCAGCACGTCTCGTATTGGCCTCTCTCCCGCGTGAGTTCGAAGCGCTGGCGCAAACATGCGCAGCGGCCTGTCTTTTCCTCAGCGCGTCCACTGCCCCCAAAAAAGAATGTCGTCCGGGCCCGCACCAAACGTCAGTCTGCCGAAGGTTCACTTCGCCCGGGTCGTCGTCGTCCTCGTCGTCGTCGTCGTCGTCGTCGTAGTCGTCGTTGTCGTCGTCGTCGTCCTCGTCGTCGTCCTCGTCGTCGTCGACTTTGCCGTCGTCGTCGTAGTCGTAGCCGTCGTCGTCCTCGTCGTCGTCCTCGTCGTCGTCGTCGTCGTCGGCGGCGTCGTCGTCGTCGTCGGCGGCGGCGTCGTCGTCGTCGTCCCGAAGCCCGGGCCGGACCTTCGAGCCCGCGCAGATGCACGGCTGCCTCGTGGCATCCTCGAAGACGCAGGACCTCGACCGCCGCGCGGTGGGCGTCGCTTTTAAGGGGGGGGGGGGGCAATAAAGAAGGGGGGGCGATAAGTAAGGGGGGGGGCCATATGAACAGGGGGCGATAACTAGGGGGTGCGAGAAATATGGGGGGGGATCAAGAGGGGGCGAGAAGTTAGGAGGGGGCGATAAATAGGGGAGGGTGAGGGAGAGAAGGGTGCACTTTTCGGGCCCATCACACTCCCTTTTGGGCCCCGAAGGGCTCCTTGAGGGGCCCAGCCGAAGGGCTCTCTTCTAGGGGCCCGGAAGGGCCCAGCTTCTGCAGCCCTCACGGAACCCCCCCGTACCGCCCCCAGTACGCGACGCCCAAGCGCGGCGCCCAGCGCCCACGCCGGCGCCCGGAGCCCTGGGGATATCAACGGTCGGTACGACGAGGGCGTTTCGGCGTCGAGCGAGGGTGGGGGAGCGAGAAGGAAAAGGCCTTCTCGGAAGGCGGCGGGGCTTCTCAGAAGGCAGCCGGCCTTCTGAGAAATGTCATGGGTCTTCGGGCAAGGCTCAGAAAATTTCTCCGAAGGCCGGGGGGCTTCCGAGCCTTCTGAGAAGGCCCGCCCCTTCCCACTTCCACCCAGGGCTGGCCGCTGAGCATTGGGTTAACCCTAAGATCCTAGCGTTGCATTCATTTCACAACGGGCGTTTCCGTTGGATTTCGGGCCCTTGGCCCCTCACATATCGATCCAGCACGAAAAATGACGCAGGAAGATGAGGTCCATGGCTCTAGTGGTGATTGTTTGCAATGTTGCATGTGTTGCTGCAGCGTCAGATCTGATGGACGGAACCAGTGGACGAGGAATCGAGGGCCTGGAAGCTGGAATAACACCACGTGAGGTTTTGCGAGGACCAGTGCAAACAAAATACTCATCAAGTATGTTACAACAAGCCCTCCCCCCACATTCCCTCTTCATGTCCCTACACACATGTATTTCCACTTCAGGAAGTGCTCCGATGGAAGACAACCGTCTGAGGATCTGCAACCATGCCAAAGCACCATTCCTGGGACTTCGTACACCATTCCTGGGACTTCAACACCGCAAATCAACGTGACTGTCGCGTCCTGACAATCCTACACCGTGCCAAAACACAAGTTCTGGGACGCAAGCAATGACCATCATTGCAACTGTTGTAAGCTGCTAAGAAAAATGCGTGTGACGCGCATGGGAGAGCCACATGTTGAAAAGGAGCCACCCTCCTTTCGTGAAGCTCCTGCGCTGCAAGCTTTTAAGACGAATGTGCGCGGTGCTTTAGGCGAGAACCGCAGTTTGAAAAACGGCCCGCCCTCCATCCTGTGCGGCGCCAAGGCGAGGGCCGCATTTTGACAACGGCCCGCCCTCCACGCGTGAAACTCTTGCAACCATTGAAGACGAACGTGCGCAGAGTGTATAAGCGAGAACCACATACTATTGAAAACGGCCCGCCCTCCATCCGTGAAGCTCTTGAGGCTGTTGGAATTGAATGTGCGCGGTGCTGAAGCGAGAACAACACCTTTTGAAAACGGCCCGCCCTCCATCCGTGCACCTGTTCAAATTCTCCGTTTCAGGATCATGAGCGGTGAACTAATATCCGGCGAAACGCCCGGCCCGCCAACCGCCCGGCCCACCCCTAATCACTGACCTGTCTCGGGGTGCGGCAAGGACGAGTTATCTAGAGGGAGCGGTGGGTGGCGCGAAGGGGATGGCCCCCAGGAGAAGAGGGAGATGGACCCTCCGATCCACAGACAAGATCCCTCGATCCCTCGCGTCGTGTCCAGAGCCCTGGCCCCCATCTTTCTGCTGCATGTTCAGGGCCGCATCGATATGTGAGTGTCCTGGGGCCCCAAGCCAAACCATGAGCAAAAACCCAGTGTAGAAAAAATGCAACGCCCAGCTCTGAAGGGAGGTGGAAAAGGATGAGGACGATGATGATGATGATGATGATGATGATGATGATGATGATGATGATGATGATGATGATGATGATGAGGATGAGGAGGAGGAGGAGGAGGAGGAGGAGGAGGAGGAGGAGGAGGAGGAGGAGGGGAGGGAGGAGGGAGGAGAAGGAGGAGGAGAGGAGGAGGAGGGAGGCGGAGGGGGGGGGGGGGGGAGGAGGGGAGGAAGAGGAGAAGGAGGAGGAGGAAGTGGCGGAGGAAGAGGTGGAGGGGGGGGAGGCGGAGTAGGGGGGGGAGGGGGAGGAGAAGGAGGGGGACGAGGAAGAGACGAGCGCTGCGATAAGATTCAAGCAGCTTCAGGCGCCTACGGCGGGCGACACCTCGTGCCCCGCACCACCCCCCCCGCCGCCCGCCCAGCTGCCGAGCGCGCGGCAGGGCGCTCGCAGTGGCCCCCGCCGGCAGTTCCTGCGGCTGTGCGGGAGGGGGGGGGCAGAGACTTGCGAGGGCAGGGAGTTTGCGGCGACGATTTTTAGGGGAGGGCTGCGACGAGAGGGGGGGGTGAAAGGGGGTGGAGGGGGAAGGGGGGAGGGAGAGGGGGGGCCGAAAAGGAGAGGAAGGTGGAGGAGGAAGGGGAAGAGGAGGAGGAGGCCGCGGAGGATGAGGCGAGGAGAGCGAGGAGGAAAAAGGATAAGGATGTGTAAGGAGAAAAGGAGGAGGCCGCGGAGGAGGATGAGGACAGGAGAGCGAGGAGGGGAAATGACAAGGATGTGTAGGGAGGAGGAGGAGGAGAAGGAAGGGCAGACAACATGAAAATAACGACGAGGAGGGGAGAAGAGTGGAAGCGAGAAGGGGGGAGAGGGGGGGCAGTTAGGAGAAGCAGCATGAGGCCGAGGAGGATGGGGATGAGGAGAAAAGGAGAAACGAAACGAGACACTAACATAACACCGAACATATGATATGAGAAAAGGAAGAGTAGGATGAGGAGGAGGAAGATGAAGAGGAGGAGGAGGAGGAGGAGGAGGAACGAGCGAGCGAGCAAGCGAGCGAGCGTGCGCGTAGCTGCACTGCGGCGCCCGACTGGTAAATCGACACTGCACTGTCCAAGCGCGGACGCTGCCGCTGACGATCCTGCCTACCCGTCCACCGCACCAAACGCACCGCCATCGTCATCTTCGCTCGCATACATCGTTCTCCTGACCCTCCTCTCCGTCCTCCCACGCCTCCTGATCATTATCCACGTCGTCGTCTTACGCATCCACTTCCACCTGATCCCTCTCTTCCCAAGGGGGGCGGAAGGGAGGGACAGGGAGGGCGAAGGGCGAAGGGAGCGCTGGAGGAGGGATGGAGAGGGGATTGAGAGGGCGAGGGGGGGGAGGAGAAAGAAGAGGAGGAAGGAGAGGAGGAGGGAGACGGGGAGGCGGAGGAGAGAGAAGGAGGAAGAGGAGGAGGAGGAGGAGGAGATGGAAGGGAGGAGTTGGGAAGGAATGACGAGGAGGAGGAGGAGGAGGAGGAGGAGAAAGAGAAGGAGGAGGAGGGGGAGGAGGAGGAGGAGGGGGAGGGATAGGAGGAGGAGGAGAAGGAGGATCAGGAGGAGGAGGAGGAGGAGTAAGGCCCGCCTCCGCGCTCCCTGTGGATCGCGAAAACAGGAGGAGGCTCGCCCGCGTGCTTCTCGGAGATTGCGCGCACTGTTTTGTATTGCTGTTATTTGCACCGTGTATCTTCGGGATCGAATGCAAGTGTGGGGTCCAAAACCCAGATAGCAGGGCGCCCGAACGACGTGGAAAGGCCTGTTCAAGAAACCTGGAAGGACCTGGAGAGAGCTTCCGAAGGACCTTCTGGAGAGCTTCTGGGCACGCGTGTTGGGGAACGCTTACAAAATGCCTCTCGGGACCCGCTAAAAGCTCAAGCAGCCCGCGCCGAGGTGTTTTCACAGAAGCTGGAACGACCTCCGGGGCTATCCTGCGGCTCTGGCTTCTTACTATGAAGCCCTCTTAGCTCCTAGCTCTCAGAGAGCTATCCAGGAACATACAAACAAGTACCCGTCAGTCGCCGTCTCCGTCGTCCCCTTTCCCTGCACCCTCCTCCTCAAGCTTGCCAGTGAAAGACACATCCAGCAATGTCGCGATCGAGTCCTTCCCTTTGATCCCTCCCCCGTCGGGGTGGGGGTCCCGGGGGGAGGGTCCCAGAGGGGGAGGCCGCCGAGACGGTCCAAGAGGGTCCCCAAATCTCCAAACGACCGGTCCAAAACGCCGTCACGCCCTCCAAACTGTCCAGGAGGCCTCCAGGACGCCCCAAGACACCTCCAAGAGCACCCCCGAGAGGGCCCCAAGAGGTCAAAT